TCTACGAGTAGTTTACGCGTCGACGACTGTCACAAGCCGGGGCCTCGACCTTTGAAGTGTAGAACGTACGATATACCAAGCTTGGATTCGAGCTTGGGCTGAAATAGCTTGTAGATGCTAGCATATCTTTGAACAAGTCAACCGGGGCAAGTGAAGAGATGGCCTTTGTTATAAGCAGTACGTTATATATTGATGGTCCTCAGATTAGCTCTCCTGCTGTCCTCAGAAGGAACCTCGTCCATTCCCCATCGATTAGTCTTTCGACCTCTCAGCAGGCAATGATCGGGCTCCTCAACTCGACTTTGGCTTTAATGCCCCCACAGGGACATCATCACTGGACCCCTTCCGCCCGTCTGTAAAACAGGACTTTGAAAAGAAAACAACCCTCTAACACAAGCACCACCACCTGAACCCACAGACCCAACGACAAAGACCACGCATCCCCACGACCAGCGATGCCATAAGGGCAAAGGCGCTCGGATTGAAAACTACTTTTCATGTCGTCAAGAGCGAACTTCGTCCTCCAAGCTTGTTAGGCGAGGTAGCACGGCGCTTCAACCTTTTTTATTCTTCCTCAGTGCGCAGTGGGAAAGGCTGGGGCTGGAGTCTGGTGATGGTGAACCCAGTGGCTTTGCGAAATCGCCTCCATCAGCGTTGTGCAATGATGAGTTGAGCGATGTGGCTACATCTAGTATGATGGCGCACTCCCTCCGCTTTCCGTTCTTGATTGTCATGCAGTGAGACGCCGGGGTGATTAGTCCCCAGCATCGCCTTGTGACGAAGGTTTGTCGTTCACTGGGATCTGATGGGCGTTAGCTGTTGTTTCGCGTGCGCTTACAGCCGGCGCATTCTAAGCTAGATAATAGCGGTTGGGGCTACTTACTCGCTGCTCGGGTTGTGGGTAGTGAGAGAAAGCTGTCGACGCGCAGCCTGGAAACTTGAGCGCGCAATCACGGGCCATGCTAGCAGCACGCTAATGACATAAGCATCTTGTCCTTCCACCGGCGTCGATCAAGAAGCCAAACTACTAGATTAAAAAATTATGTCTTGGCGTCTCCACAAAAGCAGTCTGTACATCCGGGTTGTGTCTATATATATTGTCATCTGTCGAAGGTGAAGCTTGTCAATTGTACATTCGCTGTCTTGCTAAAGACGATTGGCACGACGTGCACATCGGTATGTATGTATAATGCACGTATGTCTATCCCAACACAAGCATGCAATCATGGAGCACTGTCTTATGTGTTGCTTGACTATGAATAAAGCATTCGACATCGTGGCCGCTTCCATTACTCCATGTAGCCAGGTCACCTAAAACGGATGCTAGAGCAACCCTCAACCCACTCCGCTTGCTTTCATCGGCAGCCTTTGTGAAATTCTGTACAGAGGCGTGTTATTATATGCGGAGACATGGCTTCCACCTTGGGCATGTCACGCTAAGGTGTTACGATTGATACATGCTAGGAAAGAGAAGTAAGAGCGCTAGGTGAGATAGAAAACAATGCGCGTGGCCTGTCCAGGCCATTTTTTGCACAGCTCAACTCCATCATCTAACCCTGTACAGTGCCATCCAGTCATTCTCATCGCCGACTTCGACACACCCATCAAACTGGAGCATTGGTGGGGCCAGCCAAGCAAGCTTTTTGTTGCCCTTGAACTTGAGGTAGGAGCTGTTCCCCTAAAAACGGTCTCTTTGCTTGGTCCTGTAAACGGTAAAGCCGACATAGGCACCGGTCAGGGCTAGGCCAAATAGCACAAACTTGACGAGGAACCAAGTCCAGCTTCCACCGCTGCTGCTCTTTTCGCGCGTCATAGACGAGGCAGTCTTGCCCCCTGAGCTTCCTGACGAGGAAGCCGACCCAGGGGTCTTTTTGTAGAGATTTTGCGACTTGACTGAAACGATGTCGTGGTTGTCGGACAGTTCGCCGGTTTCGGCGGAGAAACCCAAGTAGGCGACGGGCGGAACCTTGAAGTTGGGGATCTCGAAGCATTGGGTCCATTCGCCCTCTGACTTGTACTGGAGCTCGAGGCGGAGGAATTGTTCTTGGAAATACGTGAGACGAGCTTTGGTGGCGATCTGGGCATTGCGAATGCCACGGGCCTAGTTGGCGTTAGTATCGAGAGGGCCATATGGGCCAGGCAGCACGTACAGAGCATCCAGCGACCTCGTTGGCCTTGCCGTCGTTGTCCTTGTCGTAGGGCGTGTTTCCATCTCCGTTCATGGCCATGATGTAGGGGAACACGGTGCCGGGGCGGTTGTTCTTGTATGTGTCGAAGAAGAGGCCGAGGCCCTCAAACTTGTCGGTGTGGCCGAAGACGTTTCCTGGCTGCGCGCGCTGCTTGGTGAGCCACATGGCGAAGCCATCGCCGTAGAGGTTGCCTTGGCCGTGGATCTTGAACTCGAACGTAATCTACGGGCGTGAGCGTCTGGGACATGTGGTGGGACAGAGTGCAGCCTACCTCCCAGTTGGTCGCTGTCAGAGGCACGCGCGAAAACAGCCAGCCGTCGCGCGAGGGCTTGTCTGAAGCCAGTCGAATGTACTTATCAGTCCGAATAATCGTGTCTCCGCCAAAATCCCACCAGCGGCTCTGCATGTCCGAGTCGAGGTACGGCTGTGTGCGGCGTCAGGGCATGTTTGCATGGGCGCAGAGGACATGCGACTTACGGGCTCGAGACTGTGTGTTCGCAGCGAGATGGCCTTGATATCAGGGTCCTCGCTCAATCCCCCGGACCGCGCCCAAGCACCCGTCCAGCTGCCTGCAAGCAAGCACAGGCTCGTCCATGGTCTTGCTGCCAACATGGTCGCGCACCAAGAGAGTACTGGCGCGGAAGAAAGAGTGGCACCAAGACTGCGTTGTAGTGGTTGGGGGAAACAATAAGAGAGGCACGGGTCGGGCGACTGGGACGGGGCGTGACGTGCTGGAGTTGGCAGAGTGAATCGTCGACATGGAAAGGCCACTCTATCACCTCGGCGTGCATTGCAGGGGTCCACCGTCTCGGGTTGCAGCGACTACGCTAGCGAGAGAGGCGCTCTTGACGTCGACAAGCACGCACGACGCACCTTTTCACAATACCACGCCCCACGTCCCTTCACCCCCAGACGCACACCCACCCAAGACCATGGACTCCCTGGGCGGCATGTCCTCTTACCCGAGCGACCCAAAGACGGCCGTCATGCGCCAGGTCCAGCAGGAAGCGGCTATGCAGAATGCGCGCATGCTTGTCGAGGTCCGTCGGTCCGGGGCATATACTGTCTCTGCATGGCGGTGCAAGTCGTACTGACGCCTTCCCAGAAACTCAACGAGCACTGCTTCGAGCGCTGCATCCCCAAGCCCGGTGCCGCCCTCTCCAAAGGCGAAGAAAGCTGCATGAGCGCATGCATGGAAAAGTACATGAGCGCATGGAATACTGTGAGCAAGCAGTACGTCGGCAGAATACAGCGCGAGAGTGCCCAGGGCGGTGCGGTGCAGAACCTGTAAAGGCTTGGTTGGACTGCGCCATCACGACATTACAACACCGCGGATGACCACAATGTACTATACACTGTACCATGAATAACATCTCGTCATGGCTTGGAAGCCTATTTCTTAGCAAACGTCTTCTGCCTCTGCGCATACTCCTTTACAATGACACTGCAATTGACCTCCTGGCACAACCTCTTCTTCCTCTCTGGCGTGAGCTTAGTCGCAAATTCCAGTCCACTAGCCCTCTCCACCGCCTCGACCGGTACTTCAAAATCCGTCAACGGTTTGTGGCTGGGAATGACGGCATTCGGCAGCACAAAAGCACCCAGCGCCACCTTGCCCCCCAGCTTCCCGTCTTCGGCGAAGATGACCTTGTAGAAATGTGTAGGCACAGCCACGTTGGGTGGTGAGCCGATGACTTCATATGACACTCGCCATTTGCCGTCGGCCTCGCGCTTGGGGAGATACAGAGGGCCGGTTACGATGCGGACCGAGGGGTACGAGTGTGTGAGCCTCCGGCAGAAGTCCTCGAAATGCGCCCAGTAGTCGCGGTTGAAGCCATCGCCCACTTGCGGACACATGTTGCTCAACGCAAAAGTATCGTCCATGGCTTCCTGGCTCCACTTGGCATCTGCAGCAGGGACTTGATGCCCCCTATCGTAGCCAGAGCGGAAGTAGTCCTTCAGCTTTGCACGGAACATCTCGGGGATCGTCACGTCTTCTACAAACACGCTGTGTTTCCTGTCCGCGTTGCTGTTGGCTAGCGACTCGGGCGTAATGTGCTCGGCGACCCATGCGGGGTTTCGTGTTCGTCGGTCGTAACTTGATGTGAGGGAGGCGGCAGGGCGGAGATCGTTGACTGGGCCCGGGAACCCATATTGGAAGAGACCGTTGGGGTCTACGACTGCTCTCCGGGCAGCCACAGCCACAGCGGGCGACGGCGTGGCAGGGACCGAGGGTACAGGCGCTGGCCGGCCGGGCCCAGCTATGGTTGTCGTCGTAGTCGTGGTGACAGATGGTGCAGACGGAGGGCCATCCTTCTTTGCAGAGTAAAGCGCTGCAGTCGCTGCAGCTCCTGCAGCTGCACCACCAGCAGCTATCAAACCCAAGGTGAGTTTGGACATGATGAATGTTGTTCAGTCTTCCGAGACGTGGGTTGTTGGTCGTCGGAGGTGATGGGAATGCCCCTCGTGAGCCAGAGAGCGACTCCCACGGCTTCGGCGTCCTTTACGGCGCGTGAGGGATGTCTCAGAACGCGTCTACCCGTACTCGTCTGGTTCGCTGGCGCCTGCTCCCTAATGGTCATCTGCATTTTTGACGACGAGGGTTTGGCGCTTACCGCATGCACGCTAGTCTTGACAGCCGCACCTGCATGCATATTCGACACCACATACAAATCATCAAGTCCGGCCGTTTTACGGGTTTCCAGTACATGCGCAGCCCTCTTCGTTTCTGTTTCTTCTACTGTACATAAACGGCTATGCGGATCTGCATTGAGGACATCATCGCATAAAGTGTGACGTCAACCCGCTAAAATGCCTTCCTGGCTGTCGCGAGCAACTGAGTCTCACAATGCTCAGCTCATCACGACTGCAGCCGTGTCAGGCTTTGTCGTGGGCAGTGCGATTCTAGGTTTTCAGAAAGCTCGGCGCTTGACAAGGGTAGCCGATCTGAAGGCATCGATTCCAGACGTCAGTGACGAACATCGCGCGTCCAGAGTGAGTACCCGAATATCGAATCGGCTGCATACTCGATCATCGAGCTGACACCTAAATACTCGCTAACATCACCCAGCTGACCGAATATGGTGCTGCTTCCAATGTCTTCGCCCCAAGCAAGGAAGATGAGCGGAGTATGGCATTAGCCGCAAGGGCAAGGAAAGGTGACTACGACGACGGTATTGATTCTTTCATGAAATGCCAGTTCAACTCTGACTAGTGCACCAGATCTCATCCTTGAACAACTCGCAAGAAATAGAGTCTTTCTCACAGATCCTGGAATCGCCAAGCTAAGGAATGCCTTCGTAATTGTAGTCGGATGCGGAGGCGTCGGATCACATGCTACGGCCGCCCTCGCTCGCTCAGGATGCTCCAAACTTAGGCTTATCGACTTTGACCAGGTCACGCTGTCTTCGCTCAATCGGCATGCAGTTGCTACACTAGCAGATGTCGGAACGCCCAAGGTTCACTGCCTCCGCAAACGACTCGAACAAATCACACCCTGGACCCATTTCGAATGCCGAAATGAACTCTTTGCCGAGCATACTGCTGCAGCTCAGCTAGCACCCATGAACCATCAGCAGCCGGATTTTGTTATCGACGCTATCGACAACATTGACAGCAAGGTTGCACTTCTGGCATACTGTTACATGAATAACATCAAAGTCATATCTTCCATGGGTGCAGGATGCAAGTCTGATCCTACACGAATATTCATTGGCGACATCTCCACAAGTACAGACGACCCGTTGTCAAAGTCTACAAGGCGAAAGCTACGCTTGAAGGGTGTCAAGGACGGCATACCAGTTGTCTACTCTACAGAAAGGCCAGGCCCAGGGAAGGCTGAGCTCCAACCTCTCTCCGAAGAAGAATTTGCGAAAGGCAACGTGGGAGAGCTTGGTGTTCTTGCAGATTTCCGGGTAAGAATCTTGCCAGTTTTGGGTACTATGCCAGCCATCTTCGGTCTCGCAGTTGCGAATCATGTCATCCTTTCCATCTCTGGCTACCCTCACGAATACTTGCCAGCCAAGTCACGCGACAAGATGTACGACGGAATTTTAGGTGCTCTCCAAGGTGCCGAAGAAAGACTGGCACGTGCACTCTTCAGCGAGGACCCACTGGGTCTCAAGATTCCCATAACACAAGATGATGTGGGCTATCTAGTAGAAGAAGTATACCATGGCCGAAGTATCATCAGTGGGTTGTCTACACGCCTAGTATTGACACGATGGACTAAGCCAGCTCTGAGTTTTGTTGATGAGAGAACACCGGGTCAGAAGAATAGTCATCTCCAGATGAAGGACTTGGTTCTTATGACGAAAGAAGAGGCAACAAAGCATGAGAGGGAAGTGTTAAAAGGCCAAAAAAGCTTAGAGGAAGTATATGACGCCGAAACGATTGAACGTGTCGACAAGACAATGGCTGAAGAAGACAAGTTCCAACGTTTGAGGTAACAAATGATACACTGATTATCTTGTTGCACATTCCTATGTGATCCTCACACTGCAACGACTCCATACAACTTCGGCATCCAGTCATCTCCGTGACACGATGCAACCGCCCTCAGAGTTGCATTCTCCGCGTTTAACCCCGATATCACCAGACCCCGGTGCATTGTCATCGGTCTGCATCAGTCGGTCCGCCGACAATCTTTGGCAGTGGCCCGATATCCATCGGCGGTCGCATTAGCGCAAGGCACGCGACCAATAGGAGAAGTCCTCACTTCCGCTATCTACGCGGTGGATAATTTTTCAACTGATGACGCACAGCATCAGTAAACGAAACCGGTACTGTCCCCGCAGTACAAGTACGCGTAAAGGTCTATGATGGCGAAGGTAGCCAATGGGCGCTCATGAGAGTGACGATGGGACCAACCAGAATAGCTCAGTTCCGCAGTCCGCCTGCATAGGCTGCCTTGAGGCTCTTCTAGACGGGCCAGGCTCATAGTGAACGTCATATCGGAATGTCCACGGAGTTAACGGTCGTTGCTGATATATAAGTGTTTGTGCACGGATGGTGCGGCCAAACATCCCACTACAACTACAACATCAACACCAACACCAACATCGAGCACGTACGCTTACAACAATACGAACTACACAATGGCGACAGACACGAAATTCCAAGGATGGCTCGGCAAGGACGAGGAGAGTGTCAAGGGAAAGATGGAGTGGGGTCAATTTGAACCTAAAAAGTGGACCGAAGACGATGTTGACATTGAGATCTCTCACTGCGGTATCTGTGGATCAGACTTGCACATGTTGAAATCTGGCTGGGGCCCTACACCATATCGTATGTTACAGACTGTGTCAACTGCTTCACCGTACTGATGGTTATTAGCCTGCGTCGTCGGTCACGAGATCATCGGCAAAGCCGTCAAGGTTGGCAAGAACGTCAAGCACGTCAAGCAGGGCGACCGTGTTGGTGTCGGCGCGCAAGCACGCTCATGCCTTCAACCAGACTGTCCCGATTGCTCGAACGGCATCGAGAACCATTGCCACCGCGAGACAGTAAACACTTATGGCTCCATCTACCCACGCGACGAGGGCAAAAGCTATGGTGGATACGCTACACACAACCGCACAAACGGACACTTCGTCCTAAGTATCCCTGACGGCTTGGATAGTGCGGATGCTGCGCCGATGCTCTGCGGCGGAATCACCGTCTACTCTCCGTTGAAGCGTTATGGCTGTGGTCCTGGCAAAACTGTCGGAATTGTTGGAGTAGGGGGCTTAGGTCATTTCGGTGTTCTCTTTGCCAAAGCCCTGGGTGCAGACAAGGTCGTCGGTATAAGCCGCAAGGCTGAGAAGCGCGATGACGTTCTCAAGCTAGGCGCTGACCTCTACGTTTCCACTGACGAAGATAAGGATTGGGCCAAGCACAACGCACAAACGCTCGATCTCATTATATGCACCGTTTCCAGCGCCAAGATGCCTCTAGATGGCTATCTTAGTTTGCTCAAGACTCATGGTACTTTCATCCAAGTTGGAGCACCGGACGGCGGAGAGCTTCCTCCCATCAACGCCTTCACGCTTCTTTCTGGTGGACTCAAGGTTGGAGGCTCTGGCATCGGTGCCCCATGGGAGATCAAGGAGATGTTGGAGTTGGCGGCTGAGAAGAAGATCAAGCCATGGATCCAGAAGAGGCCAATGAAGGATGCTAACACCGCGGTTGTGGACATGGAGGCAGGAAAAGCGAGGTATAGGTATGTTCTGGAGAACTAAGCAAGCAATATGCACAGCAACATAGCTTTATACGTCTGAAGGCAAACATGTACATTCTCTTGCAAAGATTTACCATTGATGATATGCTCTTGCGGCACTTTATGTGTGTTTCTCATGTTGCGTTTCAACAGAATTGCCGCTCCGCCGACCAAATGATAACATCCTAAGACACTCGCATCTCTTCATACCTATATTGTGTGATGATTTGTAAACGCATCACTATGTTATCCCAAATAAGGAAATAACCTACCCCCCCGGCCCGAACGTTCCCCACAAGATCGACATGTGACGTCGTTGCATATTCACACGACAACATCAGCCTCACGACTCGCAACTATGATCACCAACCGCCCATACTCGAAAGACAGTACACTTTATCGCTGTGCATCATGCCAAACACCAAAACCATTGACGTCCCCCACCTCGGCGGCATAACAGCTGCCTACCAAACCTCCGGTCCCGTGGACGCCTCCAAACCCACCCTCATCTTGATAAACTCCTTCGCTACGTCCTCGGAGCTCTATCGTGATGCATACACGAACAAAAAACTTACATCGGTGATGAATCTGGTAGCGATCGAGCTATTGGGTCATGGACAAACGCGCGCAAAGACTGAGAACTGGACGTACTGGGATACTGCGATGATGAATCTGCAGGTTATGGAGAAGCTGGGTGTGAAGAAAGCTTTTGTATTAGGGACGAGCCAGGGAGGATGGGTGACGGTACGAATGGCACTTTTGGCGCCGGAAAAGGTAAGCGACCCACGCCATGTCTAATGATTTGTGACGCACTCTACCAGATATTGACAGAGGAACTACCAAGATCCTTGGCATAGTACCTCTTGGAACATCCTTAGACTATGAGTCCCCTCGTTCTCGCGATCTAGGCTGTTGGCACGCCGTTGACCCCCTCGCTGACCGCATCACCGGCGAATTCGGCACCGAATCCAATGAGCCTACGCCAGACTTTGTACCCAGCACAGACTTCTGCAACTTCCTCATCGACGTGGGCTTGGGGAAGGAGGACTGTCCCGAAGACGTCCGCGCCTTCTGGATTGATGAGATTAAGAATAATTATCAAGGCGACGAAGGACGTCGAAGGATCAGGATGTGTGCAATTAATCTTAGAGATCGGGACGGATTGCATATGCGCTTGAGCGATGTGCTGTGTCCGGTTTTGCGGTTGCATGTAAGTGGATGGATGCTTTTCTTTTCATAGCAACGTTGGTCTCATTGCGGATGTGTTCTCTAGGGTGATTTCGCAACTGACTGTCGTCACAGGGAACTAGCGATGTTGTTTATTCGGTCGCGAACGCCAAAGAGGAGATGAAACTCTTTACGAACTCGCCGAATGCCAAATTGGAGGTTATCGAAGGCGGCCAGCACTTCTTGAGCGCATCTAATCCGAAAGAGGTTAACGAGTCTGTTATTCGTTTTGTAAAAGAGTATAGCAAGTAGAGGTTTTGGGACGAGGGCTTTGTGTTATGCATGTTGGATGTTGGATAGGCCTTGTTGAATCAAACCTTGGAAGTATTTTGACTGGGTAGCTAGGTAGCAAACAGATATCATGACACGGACGCGTTAGCTATTTGCGCGCATCTTTCATTCTATCCGCACCGACCCCATTACCGTAACGCCGACGAATGTAGTGTGTCTCGACAGAGAGAAAGGCTATGTAGTTGATTTGTGATGTTGATGCTTGCGTATAGAGGGCATTAGGTCAATACACAAAAATACCAACCCAGTTTATGTTGAGCATCGGAACAGGTGCATGTTACAAGCAAAAACGATTAGGGGTCCTTGTAGGCTTCATCGCAAAGATCTGATGGTCCCATATAGCCGCTCTAAGCAAGATAAATACTGTAGGGATAAGTAATAGCACGTGCGCCATTGGGTGTCTGGCTTACCAATAAGGCAAAGATGAGACCTTGCATCTTTCCACATGTTCTAGCTGCATACAAAGTATGATGCGCACACAGTCGTCAACATTTGTTTTGCAAGTAATCTTCGCCGTTTGTGTATAAATGTGCATATCGGTGTGACAAAGGGTGGATATGTTGAGTTCTGGCACACACGCACACTCACACGACGCCATGCTTTTTCTTGCTGGCTATGATGTAATTTGATATGCGCTCTTGCGATTACCCCGCTTATCCCAGTCCTTCAGCTGTTGCTTGCTTTTGCGCGGACCACGGAGTCTTGCCCCTCTCCACACCTGGCACTTGGACTTAGCCTCCGGCAAAACGGCGCTCGTGCCACAGTTGTAAACTTGGTCTGCGGGCCGAAAGTATTGCTTTTGACGGAATGGTTCCAGCGCTCGATGGCCGCTGCATAGGTCCCACAATAGCGCGATAGGTCTGATCGGCAGCGGTGATGCGCTCCAGTGTGTGGCCATGAAGAAGGAAAGTGCGGAGCAAAGCAATATTGTCGAGAACACCGCCTCTTCACGATCACGGCACGTCGGATCTGCGTGGTCAGCTACCAACAGTCACAGTCTAACAAGAATCAGCATCGACAATCCTGCGACATCACTTCCACATTAAGAGCACGTTATTTTACCTGTATGGCGGGCTATGGGCCATACAGAGCCCAACCGTCGATGCAGCTTTGGATTTCAGACTCGCCTAAAGACCCATGTCAGCATGATCTCCAGTGTAGAACTACACCGGAATAGCCGTTTGGTAAGCGTATTCGTAACATGCATCTACATACCCTTGTCAACGAGATGTGGCTGAGAATGATCGAACCGAAGTCCCGCCCGCTCGCCTCGCAAAGGAAATGCCATCGGTCCACCCAACACCACCTTAGGGTCTCGCACGTGCGTCAAGATGCGAAGGGCTTGCAAAAGTTGGGCATTTCCCAGCAAGTGGGGAAAGTTTGACGAGCCGCCAATGGCTACAATCGCAGCGACATCGAGACTGTGCTGCCCCTTGTGCAATGCGACGAGCGATCAAACATGGGTTGAGAGACGACCTGGAAGTGATTACTGTTTGACATTAGCATATCTTGTCAACTGGGATGAGAGTTCATTGGCTTGTCGGAACGCGATCTATATCCATGGACTAGGTACTGATGTTGTTTGCTTTTTGGGCGTCTTAACCTGATGGACACCGGGGATACTCGATGTAGCCAGCAAGTTCTTACAGCGGGACAGATGCACCTGCAGCCGCATCTGTATCTGTAGCGACATGCAGGATGTAGCCGGTATATCTCCGCGGCATTCGTCCACGCCGCGCCCCTCTCGATTAAGACCGGTTCCTGCGTCTTGCCGTGGCCCTTGAATCGCAGCATGAGTAGGCGTTTGTAGATACTGCACCAGAATAAGACTTGATATATTGCATGGTGTACTACAGCCACAGAGGAATCCGTTGATGTTCCCAGGTCTAACAAAGTCGTCTTGGACATAGCCGACATTTGCCAGTAGGGGCGACGGGAAGGACACGTTTCGCATCCTGGTCATTTCGGCAGTACTGCATCGCCGTTTACCTCAGCATGTGCCGTTTGGGGAGCATGTGACGGGTTATTGTTGAAGAAAAGAGAAGAAGGAGTGGGACATCTAGACAGTGGGGTGAGTAGTTGGCACTTGGCTTGTTCCAGGGCTTGACGTCAACAGGCCTTCACAACGGATGGCAGGTGCGATAGGCGCGTAAGAAGACGGAAGCCGGTACACGTCAGGTACAACCCACTGCTCTGGGTGCCTGTGCTCTATCGTTTGGCTCGCAAATCAGCGTGCATGACCGTACAGCGCGAAGATTTGTTACCGCAGCAGGCAGGATTCGCCGATTGCGAACGATGAACTGACTGCCTGAGCCCATGCATCAATATGCAGGCCTCGATTTCACCTTTGACTTGTATAGCTGCACCGTTCTCGTTCCAGTAAGACAAAACCAATTGCATTTGGCGCCCAAGCGAGCTGTCGGCTGGGAGTTTCAGGTGGTCGTTGGCAGTCTGAGACAGAGACCCGAGCGCACACAGCAACAATGTCGCATTTATGCGGTCAAGAACGCTCTTGTCCGCTGCATATCTTTGTGCACAAAGTCGCGGTAGGAATCCTTGCATGCCGAGATGAACAATGCTTATATGGATGTATAGTTGCAAACTTATAGATATATAACGGTACTGGATTAAGGTGAGGGGTAATGCACCCGAACGCACCGAAGAAGTAGCTCTGCCGGCTTTTGTTCGTAGCCATGGCGTCCACCATCGGAACTCACCGCAGTGGAGTTCCAAGACTGCCTTGACCAAGTCTAGACTGACCCTTACAGCAATCAGCGTGTTAAAAGACACACGGGTGATGCAATCTCAGGGGTTAGCACAAGCTGCGGGTGCTTGTACCCGGTATAGCTATTGAGCATACGTGAACGTTGCGGTTTACCCAAGTAGCGTAGCAGATGCAGTACGGTACGGAGTATGGTACGGATGTGATATTCGTGCGTCTAAGTGCATATGTGTAGCCAATCAATCGCCAAGCGGCTGTGGTGCTCTCTAAAGCATAGATGTGGTGAGAGCGACGCCCAAGTCCTACTTTTGCAAATCCAGGAGGTCCACCCAATGCAAGGAGATATAGACCCGTGTTGGTATCGTAAACCCAATAAGAGAAACAAAGAGAAACAAGACGTCTCAAGTGGGATGAGCCCGATGGCAGCTCTAACAGTGAAATCGCCAAAAAGAAAGATATGGCCGTGAATGGAAGCAAGGAAACATGATACCAAAGAGTGATGCGCTATGATACAGGGTATATGCAAGCAAATGCGAAGAGATCGAAGAGTCGTTGCGCGCAATTAATTCTCCTCCATCAAGGCTTCTTGGTCGCCGGTTTCGCGCCAGTCGCGTGCGCGTTCGGATAGGCGCTTGACACCAGCAATGCGCTCTGCCCAGAGAGATTCCGAGGGCGAGCGGAAAGTGTACGCGCGCTGGGATGAGATGACACCGATTGCCTGCAACACGGCCTTTCGCGAATCCCTACCGAAGACAGCAGGGTGGTTGATCCACTCGAGACTGGACTCGAGTTCTGCGTCAAGCGCATACATGGTTCTGACATCAATGCCTGCTGCAGGAGTAAAGGGGCTATCCGCATGAGGCGAGGGCGTTCGCGCACGCAAATCGCCACTGGTACTGTGCAATGTCGGTGATGCGGATCCAGTGCTGCCTGCTGCACTGGATGGTTCGTTGCGTCGGTGACCTGGAGGTGGAAGTGGTGGCAGACCTCCTTTTCCGAGTCCTTTTAGAATACTGCGCGTTTCCTTGAGAAGGTGGTGTGCGCGGTCGTGTTGCCCACGCGAAACAAGCGTCAATGCGCGTGTCAGCATGTCTGAGGTGAGCAATTCCATGCGTCGCTGCACGACGTGAGGATGAGGTGGGATGGGAGGTGTTGGTGGTCTTCCAGTCGGGCTCTTCTTTGGCCCTGACGGTAGCAGAGTGATGGCGAGTAACGACGGGCGTGGTAAATGTGACAAAGACCCTTCGCGTAGGATGTCACCGTACGTCAGGTCTGCCTGGATCAGCGGCACTTCTTCAACGCTGAGTGTGCGTGAGTCGTCCTGGTCGAGCGGTCCACCGAGAGCCTCAAGGCCAGACACAATCGACTCCCAAGGGTCCTGAGGAAGCTGTTCTGGTGAGCCGGTGTCTGGTGCAATGGCTAGTTGGACCAAAATGTCTCGCTTGTCGCCAAAACGCAGGTCACCCAACGCGGCTTCGGCGTCTCGTCCGGTAGCTCGTTTTGTAATCTGCAGGGCGCCGCTGATCTTGACAAACTTGGCAGGAGAGCCTTCGGGTAGTCGTAGCTTGAGTTTGACGTTTTGATGCGAGGTAGTCTGGAGGGAGCCGAGACAGCCAGCTGCACACTCACGCAGCATCATCCAGTCTTTAACGTACGTGTACGAAGCCTTGGTGCGGGTAGAAAGTTCAATCATGGTATCGGGCTTGTGTGTCAGTCCTAGACCGAAGGAGTGGATGGAGACCCTGGATTACGTGTTAGCAGTGGTTGCGCGGATTTGTGGGAGGAAGGGGCTACGGACTTGGCAGCCTCGGCGCGGGAGATGACAAAGTCGACGCTTTCAGCATCGGAGGTGGAGGAATCGCTGATGAGCAGGATGCTGGAGAGGGGGTTGCTGGACTTGCGCTGCATGAGCAGATCCATGGCGACATTGGCACCGTCGACGACATCTGCGCGCAGGCTCTTCTGGCCGACGGGGCGGATGGAATCGAGCACCTTGGGCCAGTCTCTCCACGCCTTGCTCGTCATGCCGACGATGGGGACACCACCGCCGCTAGAGCCGAAGGTGACGAGGCCCATGCGGTCGCGCTCGCCCAGGTTGTGGACCAGGAAGCGCAGGGTGTCGCGGAGCAGGTTGATCTTCAAGCCCTGCATGGAGGAGGATACGGGGATGACGACGACAATGTCGACGGGCACGTGGATCGAGGGCGGGGGGCGCGGCTCGGGCACGGCGGCGCGCGGG